TCCTCGAGAGCCTGACGAAGCTGATCTTCGGTATATTGAGGCATTATATATAGAAGAAGACATGTGCAAAAGATGAGCCCATTTGGACGCGAATTGAAAATGTTGTGATAAAAGGAGGTTGGGGGTGGGCATTGGGTTGTGGTGGATTTTCGCGTTTTTGTGGGTGCCAGAAACAGGGGGGTGCCAGGAAGTGGGTATGTTGACTTATATATGGCCTTCGTTCACACACGCCCAGTCTATCACAGCTTCTTCCCCAGCATCAAACGGATACAGGAACGCGGTAATAGCGATGAGAATGCCGTGGATTGCCATTATGCCAACAAAGCCGTAAGCATTTGTGCAATGTGTCTAAGCTACTGTTACGGCCAGGAAGACAACCATGTAAGGAGTTACGCGCAATTGAAAGAGGACCTTGATGTATGGTGGAAAGAGAAGCCATGGTACTTCGACGCCATGTGGGCAAATCCAGAACCTGGTTTTCTGCTGGAAGAACAGTACATCACCGATGCCGCTGTCGCTGGGTTACAGCACTATCACCTGGCGCGGATGCTCTTGATCGCCCACAACCCTAAGGTTGCGAGGCTTGGTACGGCTTTCCGGGCAATGGAGGAAGAACTCAAACAGACCGTTCGTGTGATATGTGGCCTTGCAGTGGTAAGCTTGCGGTTCATCGACACTATCGATTTAGGGGAAGTTGCCTGCTAATTGCCTGCTGCTCCGTAAACAGGCGAACGAAAGAACACCTCCAGCATACGTGTAAGTGCCATCAAGTGGCAAGCAAACACCCTCCTCAAACATCTTTTGACCGACGCGATACAATAGGAACGCATGCATAGCAATCACCATGGCGGGCGATCGTTTTACAGATCGGAAAGAACAAGAGGAGTTGTACAAGATCCTTGTCAAGACTGACAGGCGGTTGGGGTGGCCGACTCATGCAGCGTAAGTAGACCCTCGCGCCAGCCCTTTGGCCACTGCAACACAACACTAACAGCGAGCAGACAGTCTCAGATCAGAGAGGCTTGGGGCTGGGAAGACTCCCCATCACCCCCTGCGATGCCTATTGCGGCCATGTTAAACGCCCGCGCACGAGCTGGGACGGCGGATTGATCAGTGTCAACCAGCGAGCAAAGCAAGCTCTAGCGTTCTGTATAAACCTGTTAGTTGATAACGACTCGCACTTGCTCAACCCTTGCAACTACTTCACTTACTTGCGTAAGGGGTCGAGAAACAATTTACTTGGCATTGTCTATCAGATGACCACACTCTTTGCAAGCCTTGCTCCGTCTACCTAAGTACGTGTTTACATTGGTGACTACATGTGATTATTCTTCCTGCTTCGACTCCCTGCGCCAAACCTTCAAAGGCATCGGACTCGGCATCAGGTTCATGGCCTCCCGCCTCTCCGGTTCCCACGCGGGGAAGGGCAAGGCGAAGTTTTATCTATGCAAGACACTCGCCAACAAAACTGTCTGCTCCAGATAACTGATATTCCGTCCGATGCATCCTCGTGCGCCGGCACTGAAACTGACAAAGTACGGTTGCAGTTCCTTGCCCTTGTCACCGAGCCAGCGCTCCGGGATGTAGGACTCGGGTTCCGGGAAGATCTTTGGATCTCTGTGGACGATGTAAGCCGAGATGGAAACCGTCGTACTTCCAGGGATGAAATCTCCAAGAACATACGCCCCCTCAGGCGGCGTTCGTCGCGGAAGACCAAAGGTCGTTGGCGGCACTATCCGGAGAGACTCGTCGAGACACGCCCTGAGGTACGGCAAGTGCTTGACCTTGTCGTAGGGCGCAACCACCTCTTCAGGGTTCAGAACGGCATCAATTTCCTCGCGCAACTTTTCCATGCATCTGGGATTCTTCAATAGCCAGTACATGACGTTGTTCATGGCGATAGCTGTTGTGTCTGAGCCGGCATTCATCATGATGGACACCTCTGCGACAATCTCGCCCCAGTCGAGCCCATTAGGGGTTCCGTTTTTATCTTCCATCAAAGCCTGGAAGAAATCTTCCAACTTTTCACCAGCCTGGTAGCGTTTCAGTCGTTGGGTTGCGCGGTGGTAGACGATGCCATCCCATCCCTTGTTCAGGTTCCACCATCGACGAAAAGTTGGCGAGATCAGAGACGTCAGACGATGATTGAACTTGTACCAATCACCAGCCCAAACGGTGATGGACTGGGCGACGGCAGTGGAATGCAGGCAGGCTCTGTAATTCACCTCGTGAATGGATCCGTCCATGCGCTCGGCGCGCACGAGATCATGACCCTGGTCTAGAAATCCCAGTTTCTCAGACAGACCTATATCAGCGATAGCGTCGAGAGTGAAGTAGTTCGTCCACGCTCGGTAATCGAAAGTAAGATCGGCCGCGTCTGGACGAAGGACCCCCTTCAGAGGCTGGGTACAGGCCTTGTCGCAACCGACGATGAAGCGTTCAGTCTTGTCAGCCACTTTGTGTTCCCAGTTCTCGAGGTTCTTCAATGCGTATGCCGCCGACAGAACCTTGCGTTTCCGGGCGTGGTCTGCCTTATCGACAACATCGGCCAGATGGAAGTGAGTTCCAGCCAACGTCTCGTAGAACTCGCCCTTGAGACACTTGGTTCCGCGCCCGTAGATGTCCTTGATTGCATCTACGGTACCGTACGAAAGCGAGTTGGGCCCAGTCCGAAGCACCGGATGTTTCTTGTGCTTCTCATAGAGAGTCTTGGATCGAAAGCCGAGTGCAGCTTCGCGCATGAAAACTAGATTGGTCACGCCGGCTAAAGGCTTGAAAGCCGGAAATCGACGAAGTCTTTTGGGGTCTCGGAAGTATTCGATCAAGGGATAGACGATGAAGTAGAATAAGACGCTCAGCAAAGCTGCCAAGGGAAGTACAATTGCGTACATGACGAGGTCCTATCTCAGCTGGCTTGGAAGGCTTGTTTGCAGAGGTCTGGTGTAAGGAGTTTGATACTTCGATTCCGACGCTAGCTAGCACATCAGCACGGCATCTCACTTGTGATAGCGAGCTTTGAAATAGTCATTCTGTCCGGTGCAATCAGCTGACTTCAAGATCAAACACAAACGCAACGGGATATGTATCCCGCGGAGTGCCAGCTTTGGAGACATCACAACTGTCATTCTCATGCTCTTCAGGCGCCTCTAGTGCAGGCGGACAAAAGCAAGAGGACGACAAATTGCCTATTTCGTCACCCAAGGGGTCCCTGTCAGACGAAATTGGCGTCTTCTGATGGGTCCAGATCAATGCTCACGGCACATGGCGACGTTGACCATCTCTAGTCTCACGCACTCCCCACATGCCAAGATCGAGTTGATCGGACCCAACTTTCCTATCCAAGACGTCTCGGATTGGAAGTTGCCTATTTGGAGAATACCCCACGTTCAGGCGTGGCGTTTGTTCAGGAAAGGAAACTTGTCAGCCGCAGTAGATCGCGCGACTTGCCTATTTGACTTCAGATAGGCAAGCCCAATTCCAGTCTAGGCAAGTCGGCAGTCATGCATCGCGCCGCGTGTTTCCAAACTCGATGTCCCGCCCACATGGATAGTTACACAAGCGCCGGGAAGGTTTGGATGAAAGCCCGACGACAACTTACCTTGGAGACCTCGATCTTTAATCCCTAAGTACAGGTACTTGATGACGGGAGGTAGCTTGTTTTCACCCCCTCCCCCCGATGTCCAACTAGCCACTTGCAATCGAAGGGCTCTTTACGTTTTTGCTATCAGCTCAGATACGCCAACTGGAGAAGACAAATCCAATAAAATCCTTCACGAGTCCATCGATACCCACGCGTTATTGGCCTTTTCTCATTCGCTATCAGATGACTACTGAAAAGCCACAATTGATTTCTTTCCGAAAAGACTTGTCACCCGTTGGAGTGGCATTGGCCTAATCCTTGTCGTTTTATTGCACCTGAACAGCGTGATGCTGACCCATCGAGTACTCGCCTTTCTAACACGGGCCTTTCCACTCAATTCAGGTTTGTTATAGTTACGATTTCCGACACAAGATCCTACTTCAGGACCTTTCGCCGACTTTTGTAGTTTTGTCTCACCGGCTTGAGTACCGGTCAATAATGATTTGCCTCCCCTAACCTAAGATATGATCACCAACTCTTCCATACTGAGTGAGAGTCATCTCCTTTCAAAACAGTCTTCATCTTTCTCATCATGAAGTCGAGCTTCTAAACTTATTCCCATCACCATTTGTCTTGTCAGGGTTGCCGAAAGCCATACTGACGAGACCTCTAACTTCCTAGAGGAACAACTGTTCCAATTCCACACATGATACTTATCCGCTGCATTCTTATAGGTACCTTGATTATTCTGGTTATTGCCAATTCCCGGAACACCTTCACTTAGAGAGTGTTACGAACTCAGCAAAACGATATGACTACAACTCCTCCACAACACTGATCTGCCTTTTGTTTCCTCTTTTACCAATTATCCCAGCCTTGATGGTTGTGAGTACTTCATCGGGGACTCTCACTCCTCCTCGGGAATTGAGCATCTGAGCATCCGCCATTTTGTTTACGTGTTCCTTCAGAGACCCACGGTGCCAAATGCTTCAAGTCACCAAGATCCACTTCTTCGGGCTGCTCGTCCGGTGGCCTATTATCACCATCCCGACTTGAGTGATTTGCAGCTAGTGCTTTAGTATCGCGTTCATCCTTTACGGCGGGCAACACACCGGTTGAATGGTGTCCGATTCCCAGATCCACATGGCTAATGTCCCGAAGAGAATGATCAGGCTCATCGTTGTCGTTGTCAACAGAAATTAGTTCGTGCAACCGATCGCTCGGTCGCAAGACACTATCCCCGATAGTCCTCATTCTCGGCCTAGCACCAAATATGGAGCTTACATTTTGAACTGTTCGTCTCCTTCGTAAAAATAGACGACGGAAATAGTCTCTAAAGGCAGGCATGCAAGAGCAGAAGATGAAACCGTTTAACTCGACGAATGACCAGTTAGAGATTGGCACAATGTCCCCTAGTAAGCGTCAGTACTCGCGTTTACAATAAAACAACCAACTCACATGTCGGATTCGAAGTCTTCATGAAATCTCTGATCGAGCTGAGTCTCAGAATGGAGACAAAGGTGATCCTACAACGTATATTAGCTCTTATCAATCCCACATTTCCGGGTTCCGCAGGGCACAACTCACAACAATGCTACAGCGAACATCATACCGGCCCCAACCTTCTGTCTCCATCGCCAGTTGAGCCTGACGATTTGAGAAATGGGCATAGCTACTACAATAACATCAAGAGCAATATTGACCGATGCATGGGCCCAAGTCTGAACATTAATATCGTGGCAACGGCCTTGGTGTTCTCCATCCCACTTAGTCCAGGTGTAGCTGATGGGCCAGCACTGAACCGAAGTCGCAACTAGGAATGAAACGGCTGATATGACGCATGCCCATATGACACCCCAAGTCAAGCGCCTAAACTTTTCATCGGAAAATAGGCGCAAGTAGAAAAACAGGAAATTCGTCTTCGCAAACATGACGGTGAATGCGTAAAAGTGCTCTCCGATGTAGAACAGCTTGCCGAGTCGGGTAAGCTTGGACTCTTCTCTTTTTGCGAACCTCATTGTCTGCCATTGCACTTACTTTGAAGAACTCGTTGATTTGCTCCGGTGTGAGTGTCCAGATGTCTTTTCCGAGGCCATTTTGAACCGCTGCAACACGGGTTAGATTCCATTCCAGGATTCTTTCCTCCGTGTATGGCTGAGGACGGCTTACTGAACACAACAACCACGCTCATAGGTACTGATATCAACTAGACCAATTTTACTTTAGTCAAGGTACAGGTCAAGTCGACATTTTGTCGTCATAGAGAAACATACCATTGAGAAAATCAGGGCATAGTCATCCAGTCCAATTATATAATCCAACCGTGAGAGTTGGGAGTACATGCGGACACCAACACTAAATACAGCCACAATAGCCCCTGCTACGGCACTCGCAGTGGCTGAGGGACCTCTATCTCGATTGGGAAGTCCACAAATGTCGAATATGATTCTTTGGCTCTCTGCATTCATCAATATGAATCCTGTTAAAGGCGTCGAAGGCGGAGAGGCACATACTTAGTCCATCGACGACAGAGCAGTTTTGATAGCTGCAACCGATTATTCCGTACAGTTGTTGCTCTGCGCAAAGAAATTTGATGGCGGCTTGTGCACTCGTCGCTGATGCGATCATTGTCGAGACGCAATGACTCTGAAAAGCGGCATAGCATTAGTAGTCGCATGAAGACTCGCGACTTTGGCGTGACGATCAGGGAACTTACCGCGCATTCCGGCAGAAGGCTCTCGATACCCAAGCCCTGGGGTATGGCACTTGACACTAGAGTTGAGTCCATCATTCATCTCGGTAAGTCCGGCCAACGACAACTTCGACAAGACTAGGGATTGGCGACAAACCAAGCACATTGGTCGCAACGTCTTTCGATAGAGACGTTGATAGTTGCAGACGTACACAGGTGCGTAACTGGGCCGATCCGTATTTGAAAGATCTTTTCTTCGAAGAACATTCCCCCATGTTCGCCCTGAGATTCCACATGACGTTGCTTCTCTATTTACGGCGGTGCTTGAATCAGGGCTACCCCATTTCATTGTTGACATTTGGTCAATCTAAGCTCTATTGAGATTCAGAGTGCAACGGCTCAGTCAGGATCAGGCTCTTGCGCCAATCAATTATGTCCGATGTGCACTTATAGTTCAGCCGGTGCCATCTTAGCTGAGTGTCGGATCACTTTGAATTTCAGTAGTGGGCAAAGTTGGGACTAGCACGCCATAGCACAGGGGCCAGCGTGCTGTCGAATGCGTGCTTCAGGGGACAGACAGGCTTCTCCGCAGGGCAGAAAATGTGCTGAGAAAGGAGAAATCAGACTTCAACGTTTCTACAAGCATCAATCAGATGACTCTTGGCAACACAACCAAGGTCAACCCATCTCGTTCTAATGTAGATGCAGCAAAACAGTCGCTGTTCTGCGTGATATTCTTTCTAGCTAGAAATTGCACAATTTGCAGGGCAAATGGGCACAATAACGTGTTTCTTTTTTCCCTCTGTAACTCTTCCACCTTAGCGACAACTTGATAGCAAGATGGCAAGACGAGGAATTCTAGACTTTCTAGATTGCAACGCGTGCGTAGCTAGAAGTAGTGCAGCAGCGAGATGTATTTGGGTTTGACCAAGTTAGTACCGTCATACAATTGCTTCAGTGACATGTTTGCGGTCTTGTTTACCCTTCTACCTGAAACCCGTGGCTGACTCACTTTGAGCTACATTGCAGAGGACAGCGACAAAAGGAGCCATGCATAACGTCACAACAATTCGAATGATGACTTCGAGCAAGCCCTCTGAGCGGCTAAACGGTGATGACTGAAGTTTCTGTATAGAAGCTAGCATAACGCTGTGGAGCTTGCAGTCTCGGAGCCAAGTATTCCCCTCCGTCGATCCCGGTACAACAGGCCGACTAATTACATGTATTGCAGAGGAAGAAGAGATGTAGACGTTTCCGAGATGTGTTGACAAATCATCGTGCTTTGATAGTTGTCCTCGTCTCTACCTCTAAACACCAACGGGAGTCTGGCAAAGGATACTCTGGCCGAGCTGTGGTCATGATTGTTAGAAGACGAGATGCAGACGTTTATCTTTGATTTGTACTACTCACGATGGGAAGAACACAGCAGCGGGCACGTTGGCCAACCTTGGCACAGATGCTTTTGGCGTCGCTGGCCGAAGTCGGCACGGTCGCGGCTGTTGGCAGAGCTATTAGCAGCGATCACTTCACCTTCCTCTGGTTTCGTTCTGACTCACGAGAAGCGCAGTCAAGATCAGCAACTCCCAGAAGGTCGGTGGCACAGCACTGAAGACTGTCGTAGAGACCAGAGCAAGCATCATAGGGAGCAGAGCCACCGCCAGTGTTGCCGGTGGGAATGGCGATGACGGCAGTGGCCAAGATCGAAACGAGAGCGGTAGCGAACTGCATCTTGAAAGCGATACGATGATTGAAGGAGAGTCTTGAGTGACCGAAGAAGAGCTGGGAGCTGCAGATTGCTTTGAGTAGGAGATAGAAGAGATGGTTAATTATGATGACTAGATATTGATTGAGAAGCCTGGAAACTGCAGACTTTATATATCTGAGTCCAATTGTCGCCGTCACTGCTCATACGACTAAACAGATCAACTTGATGAATGGTCCTCTTGCATTTCCGCCACCATGTCCACTGTTTGTGCAAAGTACTGCGGCATAACTTCACCTCACCATTGACACCATTTCGCAGTCATCCTCGGACCAAAGGCACACGATGAGGTTCGTGAAGTTTTCGGCAATTCGGTAAGAAGAGCTCATTACCAACGACTTGCGTATGCTTGGCAATATTGGCTTGGCTGTCCACTTTTAGTCCGAGAAACTGAGGTGTAGGTAAATCCACCCAACACGAGCTACATAAGGCGGGAGCGGCTACTCCCGTGCGGCTAAAAACGTGAGAAGTGATAAGGGATTCTGCAAAATGCCCGAAAAAAAGTAATGTCCAACTTCATGATGCTTTCCGGGGATGCAGTTTGTCTGAATCCGGGTGGAGTGAAGGCGTTGGTCTAGTCCGGGATCATAATGAAATTCGCCTACAGCCGCTCCCGCCTGTCAAATGCAACATTCCCCGCCCTCAGCTCGACTAAAAGCGAATGAGGGGAAGAGGCGATTCTCAGCCCAGCCTTCGACTAGGAATAAATCACAATTGTGACGCTGCAAGTACAGGCATGCCTGCAGATGATCAGCGCTGTCTACTGCCTCGTACCTTGTTTCGTGAATCAGGAGAGTCTTTCCGTAGACGAAGTATAGTAGAGCAGGACAGTAGGTATGCGCGGCCAGGGCAACTAACCATTTGTGCAACGGGTATGCTGATGTGCATAAGGCTGGGCCCGTTGCTTTGAAGAACTTACTAGGAATATTAAGCATCTTTCAAGACGTATTATCATTGTAATTAAACCTGCGCTCTGGGACTTTGCTGCTGCTGCTTACGAACTGTTGCGATGAGCTCTGAATCTGGGTTCCCCTTGGATATAACCACTCCCTTTCCATAAAGAAAATGCACAATGCATGAGATATGTGCAAACTAAGCCAAAGGTTCAGAAATGTGTTGGCAATTACCCATCCTGATTCATCAATCATATCCGTTGAAAGAAGTCCTGCATGTTCGACATTGAAATTTGAAGATCCACACCGGTTGTTCACGCATGATAAGTCACACTACTATGCATGGGTTAAGCGTTCAGTCCTAGTAAACGGTGCTTTACATGGGTTGTGGACGAGGCGGGTAGAGGCCTACAGCAACCTAGAACCTAAATGCAACAATAATATTCCCAATGCTACCGAATCAATGATCAAGACCCAAATTTGCAGCGCAAAGATTTTCTAGGCAACGCGCAAATGAACCAGGTGATGTAACATAGAGAGAGCTAAAGGGGAAACCACTGCGATATCTGCAGACCATGGCCATCTGGTCCTTTTCCGTATGATCATTAATCGTCATGCTTTTACAACATATTCCAAGAAGTTGACAGGCAACTGAGACCTGTGGATCATGGCCTAGGCTTTGTGTCCCACAATTTCCGCCACCTCGTGCATCCGGTCTTGCATCCGGTCCTGCTCTTCGAATTTTTTCACAACTTGCAGAGTGGCAAAGTAACTGAGTGGTAGAGCGATGAACCAAAGACCGCAGTTGATGCTTGCTGTAGCAATAAGGGGGGTTGGAACGGCTTGGATCCCGAAACCCACTGCTACCGCTGCCGTCTCGATGCCACGAAGCAAAGAGCTATACCGAATCTGGTCGCCGGGCGAGTCTGACAGATTTCCGATTGCCCAGTAGATGAAGTTCTCAATCATGCCAAGAGACGCTCTTTCCAGCATATAGAGCCCAAATCCGCGTCCGAACTCGCTCTGAAGGGCCCAATCCAGGACAGGGAGCGTGAATCGATACTCATTTTGGATGATGACAGCCCATATCCAGGTTGCAGTGTTGAGACAGACTATCAGCGAATATGTTGCTAGAGCTCGTGTCTGGCGATTCTTGGACCACGGGAGATCCACAAGTGATCCTCCGAGCCATGTCGAGAAAGTGCTTACGATAGCTGCAACGAAACCACCTAGCGCTCTCGAGCGCACGCTGAAGTATGTTGCAAGGTAGGTGCCAGGGTATGCTTGAATCCAGCCAAAGTACCAGAATAGAGGTGTCAATAGAAGAATTGAACGGCTTCTGAGTAGCTTCCACATCTCGAAGAGCTCTGTCCGCCAATGGATCCCTCTCGGCGCTTCGATGCGACTTCCGTCATCCCGCATGACCTTGTCGGGGTTGGATAAGAAGAGACCCAGGAAGAAACCGAGACATTGTATGCCGATGAAGGCAAGGTACAGCTCGTATCCAACCTTGCCCTTCTGATTAACCTTGTGGTTGAGCGCCAGCGAGATGGCACCACCAATAATCATGCCAAAGTTGCGGAAGGTGAACCACGTCGCGACGTAACGGCCTCGCTTGTGGTTTTCAGGATATCCCGTGGCAATCGCTCCCTCGACACTGTAGAAGAATCCAGCACTTATGCCGCAGGCAACCGAGCCGAAGTAGACGAGCCATGTTCCACCTGTCCGATTGTTGACGTAAAGGCCGGCTGCATAGAGGGGATACCCAAGAGCACCAACTGCCAAAGTCCAGCGGAATCCAATCAGGTTGGTAAGGAACGGGCCAGCGAAGCAAGTCAACGTCATAAAGGCGTAAAGGAGAGCATTCGCTGCGTTGACCAGATCTGGACTTTGTGAACCGCCGACGCCGAGTCCATTCATAGCACTCCATATTCCCGGTGCACAGAAAGCACAGAGACCAACGATGAGTATCTGAAAGAGAGTACTCCTGAGAAACGACATGGGTTGCGACGGAGACAGCGACTGGTTGCCGGGCTCGATTTCTGGCTGGCGAAGGCCGGCCACCTCGACAGACATGACTGGCTAAGTTGCTGACTGGTACGATGGTCGAACTTTGACTCGAATATGCTTGATGATGAATTGAAAAGGTTTGACGGCTGCGAGACAAGACCCCCTCTTCGAAGACCTTGATGGTTGCAGTTGCTGGAGGGCCAACCTTTATGGGCTGGTGTAAAATCAAAACCTCCTCAGGCAACTATTTACTTCACTTAGGGACTTAAGATAGACCTCAAATCCGCCACTGTAAAATTTCCACTGCATGAGATTTGCTTGCAGGGTCACGAATTACGTGCTCAAGTTTCGTCCCAACGTCGCACCAATCGACAGTCCTGAACCAATCTCTTGAGCCTTACGAATGGTAACCCAGACCCCGCATCGGGGACGGTCGGAAGCAGTCAATACGAATCTGTATCCGTTGTGAAGACTTGTTCGCCGTAGATCATATATGGAAGAGCCGGCGTGTAGCCCATTCGCCGTCGATGAGTTGCCTAAATGCTAGCAACATGGAGCTAGCAAAAGGATCGCATGTATCCATCATACAAAAGAATTTGCGTTCTCTCTTGCTTAGAATACGGTACTCGGAATATCGCGATATCGTTTCAAGCATGTATGAACCCTGAGTCCATAGGGAAGAGCGAAGTTAAGCATGAGTTTGGCCTTGATGCATTCAACCTCAACTGCAATGAACCAATCCTATCGGAGGACGCGGGTATTGATAACCGGGGTAGAGATATCGATGCGACTCTCGCCAATTGGCATGAAGCCCAAAATAACGTGATTTTAGCTTCGAACGCATCAAAGCACATGCTACAACTTCCTCGGATAGGTATATAAGTTCCCGTTCAACCAATCTGACGTCGCGGGCGCTTCCATCAAACCCATCCTACATCCAGTACCTGCACGTTGTCCCAGGTTGCGATCATCGGCATCGAAGCGAATACTTCCTGCTACAGTTGCCGCAAGGCACGCAATCACAATGACGACTTCACTCATATCGAATGTTACCGAAGGCCATAAAACAACCAATCAACTCAATTCCTCCATCGTATTTGAACAATTTCAAGATTTACCCCAGGCAAATCAACGACTTCTGGGCGAGCCCCATCCCACTGGCACTGTGACACCACTGGCGTTGAGGCCTTCCGGTCAGCACAAAGATGTTCAGTTGCGTGAGGTCGTCCATGCTGTAGAATCTCTTCAGACGCAGGGCGAACTCACCAAGAAACTCGCCATTCACGGGGTGCTTTTATTCAGAGGTTTGCCAATCCATGGCGCCGAGGATTTCAGCAAGTTCGCACACGCTTTCGGGTACAAACCACACGAAATCATTGGCATTGTAGTCGACAGACCATTGTTGGCACCAAACGTGGCACCTGCGAACGAAAGCCCAAAGGAAGTTCTCATCTACAACCACAATGAGTCACCCCAGGTCCCGCATGCGCCCGAATACGTTTTCTTCTATAACCACAAGGCGCCCGCAAAAGGGGGCGAGACCCCCATTTCTTCATCACTGGAGCTCTTTCAACGAGCCAAGGATGAAATCCCGGAGTTCATCCAGGCACTGACGGAGAAGGGAATTCTAAGCAGAGTGACCTATAAGTTCGACCAGCAATATACAGGAGGCTCAACCCTAGCACAAGCTTTTGGAAAAAACTTCTTGGACGGTGACAGTGTGGCCATGAAGCGCGAGAAGATCGAGGCACAGATTGCTAGATATGGAAGAGGCCAGCATACGACTTGGGAATGGATAGACGACGGCGTGATCCTGACGCATAGGCTACCCGCGATTCGTACCCAGCCAGGCACAGGACTTCCGACGCTCTTCACCGGATTAGCCGCCTACTGGAAGAACTCTCAAGGCGGACAAGGGGCCAGAAAGGAAGTCACCAAACAGCTCTACGGCGACGGCACGCCAATCCCAGACAGGTATCTAGAACACTTAGCGAAGATCACAGATGAGATCCGAGTACTCCACAAGTGGCAACAGGGCGACGTTCTCGTCTTCGACAACGTTA